GATCTGTATAGTAGGAGTGAAGGAGAAGGTTTAGTATTTAGTATATCTAATTATGTGGACTGTGGAATAATTACGTCTACTGCATGTGTACTCAATTTCTTAATCAATAGTAATAATTATTTAGTTCAAGATCCCCTCACTAAATTCCTGATTATACACACCTTAAAATAAGGACAAGTGTTCTAATTACACAGTTTTAGGAGAAATAATTTCTTCTCCTAGTTATTAGGATATTGCGGTGCTATTGAAGTTATGTTGAGTGTATTCTCAGTACACATACCAGTGTCTGTATCAGTATATAATTAACTAATAATGATCATTAGCAATATAAAAGAAACAATTAATAACTAATAAACAACAAGACGCTTATTATAATAATCACAAACATACAATAATCCATCTTTATCAAATGCTAATCCATAAGGATTACTAAACTGATCAATATTACTGCCTACACTTCCAAACTTCCTAACAAACACACCATCACTAGTGAAGACTGATATACGACAAATGCCTTCTTCACTAACATACACTAGACCAGTAGCTGCAGTGTCTATTGTTATATCTACTGGATAACTAAGCTGTCCAGGACCAGATCCTTCAGTACCAAACTGACCCACAAACTTTCCATCTGGAGAAAACTTCTGAATGCGATGATTATTCCTATCAGTAACATACACTAATCCTTGACTGGCAATAGCAATGTCACGTGGATACTGAAACTGTCCATTAGCTGATCCTTCACTACCAAATGAATGAGAGAAGGTTAGATCAGGATTCAAGACTTGTATACGATGATAACCACTATCAGCAATATATACCTGTCCTGTTATAGGAGAAATGGCTATACCATGAGGATACTTGAATTGTAGTGGTCCACTGCCCTCCTCACTAACTGATGCTATAAGGTATCCATCCATGCTTATCTTCTGGATCCTGTTACTATCAGATACAAGAATGAATTTGTCTGGAGTAATGGCTACACCACGAGGACAAGAAAACTTGACATTACCACTTCCTCCTTCCCCTCCTAATGATTTCACTTTCTTTCCTTCTCTATCCAGTATTGTTACACAGTGACCACTATACTCAGTTATTATAACATGATTATCATCAGTTACAGCAACTCCACAGGGATGCTTAAGCTCAGTTATAGTACGTACTGGAGTGATGTTATTAAGGTAAGGATTGAAAGGGATGACTAGTGAGGTATCCTCAATGTGTACATCATATACTTGTACTTTTACTGTATGAGTACCACTGGTTGAAGGGTTACACTGTATCCTATACACTCCAGGATCAGTGCTGGTGGTAGTGACTGTAGTGTGAATGGGTTCATCACCTTTACCAACTGGTACTAGACTACACCTCAGAGAAGAGATGGGAACACACAAAACAGATGAATCTGGTGCCTCCATTGATAATGAAAATGAAACTGCTTTGCCAGCAGGTGTAATACGATCAATCTTCTTCACTCTACACTGCTGTAGTAAGACAATATCTCCAATGTGATGTAGTGATTTGATATCTTTACTCAATACAAAGTCGGCTTTTTCCTTTGGATGTAACTCCTCCACATTGATCCCTCCAGTAACTTCACTCATACGCTCCATCATCTGTTTCTTACACCTCAGGACTTGTTGAGGACTGCCTGTCTTCAGACTCTGTTCCACATAATCCTCAACATCCTCCAGAACACTCAAACTCATTTCTGCTGATTTCATTTGCTCTGAAAGCACCTTTAGTTTAGCATCAGTGACCCTCTTTGCCTGCTCAGTCAGTTTCCTCTCTGACTCACGAAGAACAGAAATCATTTCCTCTACCATTTCATGTATTTCTTCTAAGACTCCTTCTCCTCTCTCTCTGATCTCACCCTCTCTCTCTGCTAGAACAGACAGGACCTTCTTCAGTCCTTCAATTTTTCCTTTTACCGGATTAAGAGATTTCTCCAGTGCTTCTTTGTGTTTAGTGAAACTATTAGCTATTAGGTTATACTTGTGATCTTTATGAGTGAGTATAGCACAATCACGACAGATAGATTCATCACATGTGTCACAGTAATACTTCAATGGCTCATCATGACCACGTACAGAGCAAGTGAGGGTTGCCTCCTGTTTAGCTG